TGCAGCCCCACAGCGAGACCCTCAAACACTGAGTGAAAGGAGAGTGACAGCAAGAGCACGAATGCTCGGAGGGGACTCTGTGAAGATGAGGGGAGAGGTCCATGGCTGTGGAGTTCAAAGTCATGAGCCCCACCGCACTCCTTCTCCTGCACTGTTGATCCTCTCGCAGCCCCAGGACAGCACTGCAGTGCCAGCGACTCCAAAAAGAAGACGAAGAAGAAGCCCAGGGAGATGATGAGCTCTCCATAGGGATATTCCATCTGGGAACAGAATGGGAGGCTGTGAGATGGGAAAGGAAGATGGAGTCGGACGGATGTGGCGTTGGGAGATAGAAGAGAATGGGAAAATGTGGTAACAGAAGTCAGTAACGGGTAGGGGAATGAAGGCAAGAATAGACACCCACATGTGACAACAAGAATGGCAGAGGGACTAAGGGATCTATGGGGAAACAAGGTGGAGTACATCAGCGGGTCCAGGGACAGAAGGAAATGAAAGTAAATCGAGAGCTTCTGCTGGGGTTCCATAAACCCAAAAGGATGGGCTTGGCTCCTTCTTTCCTCTCTAGTGTCTGAGCTGGGGAGCAGGAGGGATTCTTGGTATTCTTCAAATATTCATCTCAGAAGGGGCTGGGAATGAAAGACTCTGGTTCTACTCGCCTTGGAGGTAGAAGCTGGTGGGAGATACTTACACGAGCTGAATGAGCATCCTCAGAAGAATTTCCCTCACTTTTTGTCCTGTTCTAGGGAGAAAGAAGCAGAATTAGAGGGAGGAAGCAGCAGCTTGGCTTCCTGTCTCTTCAGCAATGCTGCTTTCCTCAAAGCCCAGTCTGACCTGCCTTCACAGAGGGCTGTCTGCCTTCCGTCCTTCCCTCCATGTCCTTGGCTCCATCACTTTCCCCTGCTTCTTTCCTTGGTTCTGTTTATCGTTCTGGCCTCAGAGTCCTGCAGCTCAGTCATCTCTGCTGCTTACCTGCACCATGAACTTCTGGAACTGTGTTTCAATTTCCTCCAGAGCTTCAGCAGTCATGTGCATGAGTCCTGCTCCCAGGAACACACCAGCAGAAGTGCAGCCCAGGAAGCTGAGGATGCGGCGGTGACGACCTAATGAAAAGCATAAGTTACTACACAGTTGCTAATGAGGCAACAGACA